CTGCCTTGTCTCCGTGTTCCTTAGCTAGTGGGACCCATAGTACACACTACAGGAACAGGCTTGGTTCAAGACTGAGGAAGGAAATTTTCTACCAAAGGAATGGTGGAAGTTTGCTGATGGTTGCGTTGCCATCCACAAGTCACTGGCTCCCACATTTGTCAAGTGGTTCCATGAAGGAACTTATTCAGGGCAAACAGCCCTCGAGACCACCCTGGCCCAGCACTTTTATGTCCCCATAAGACAGGCAATATGTAAAAGATGTAGCCTGTGTGCCGAAAACAATCCCCGGCAGGGACCAAAAGTGCTGCCCAGGTGCAGTGTTGGTGGAACTCCTCGTGACTGTGGACTTCACTGAAATGCCACGAGCTCGAGGATGCAAACAATCATTTGTGGTTGTTTGTACCTTCTCAGGATGGGTGGAAGTCTTCCCATGCGGACTGAGAAGACCCGGGAGGCGGCCAGATGTCTGCTAAAGGAAATCATCCCTCAGGTTTGGGATACCTGTGTCTATTGGGTCAGATAATGGGTCAGCCTTTGTAGTACAAATGGTGGCACACAGGGTGGCTAAGGGCCTAGGAATCACCTGAAAGTTACATATTGCATATTGCCCCCAAAGTTCAGGAAAAGTGAAATGTATGAATAGGACCTTAAGATCACAGTTAGGAAAACTTTTTTTAGGAGACCCATCTGCAGTGGGATCAATTACTGCCATAGCATTACTGAGGATTAGGTCTAGTCCCACAAAGCGGACAGGGCTCTCACCTTCTGAAGTCCTTTATGGACGCCCATCCCCCTTAATCAAGGGCATATAGGGGGGACCTTAATAGCTGTCCTCACCTTGAGATAACAAATGCAGGCCCTTAGGTTGACTCAAAAATCAATGACTGGGTCCAGGACAGACTTTCTATTAGCCTGACAACTCCCTTGCACACTTACAGGCCAGGGGATGCCGTCTGGGTAAAGGAATAAAATGTCCAACGATTAAAGCCTCAATGGAGAGGCCCTTCTGTTGTTATTTTGTCTACCCCTACTGCAGCTAAAGTAGCAGAGATGGCTCCTTGGATCCACCACTGCCTAGTCAAGCCAGCTTCTCTGGAGTGGGAGTGCATCCCTGATCTGGCTTCACCGTGTAAGATCACCCTGTGGAACATCAGTGCCCTTCCTCAGCAGGACTCCGCTTCCCAGGAAACAACAGAGGACCACGGACAACGGGAAAACAGCCCTGCTCTAGTCACTCCAGAAGCTGACTGGTGTACACATGGCAGAAGGTTGAAGAATCATCTCTTTCTCTCTTCAAGGATGAGTCCCTTCCTTATTTTCCTTTTGTTAGGCTTAATTAGTTTTCTGGTCAGGGACCCACAAACCTCAAACTGTGACCTATGTCACAGGAAGTGTTGCCACTAGGACTGTGACTTTCCATACTTACTATTTCTGAGCAGGACTGTCATCAGGTCTATGCACTCACAACCATACCGCCTACTTGGTGTGCTCCCATGGTGATCAGCATGTCTGCTTCAATCCCACCTACTGCCCTCAGGAGCGATGGTTAGAGGTCAGGAGCATCCACAACCCTGGGAACTTCGTCAGCCACACCCAGGAGTTTAACCCTGGTAAAGCAGTGTCAATGCTCTTTGATACACGTGTGGCCACAGGCCATGGTGGATGTGGGGGCCTGCTTGGGAGAGAGCCTGTATGTCATGAGAAGTATATGTGCCAGGGAGACAACTCTTGGCAACTCTTGGCCACTCACGTAACGATGTGGGCTGCTATTCTTGCCCTTACTGGGGTTGTTTCATGGGTTACATGCAAACGGCAGAACACGCAGCCGTCCTTCACAAGGGGACAGCTGCTCCTGACTGCACCCCTGGCACCTGTAACCCCGTAAATTTTACTGTACTGAAGCCCTCCGATTGCAAACAGGGACATAAAATTAGTATAAGAGTAGATGAAAAGGTCCTTGACCCCAGGACTCTGATGCTTCTCAAATTAGTAACTGTTACCCATGAGAGGTCCTCATACCAAGTTTATCACTCCTTTTATGAGGAAATGAGGAGTGAATTTTCTATCTCTATCAGGGCCAGAAACCTGTTCCTATCACTAGTCAAGTCCATAGCCCAGACACTCAACGTCACCTTGTGCTATGTTTGTAGAGGAACCAACCTGGGAGACCATTGGCCACGGAAAGTTAAGGAGCTAAACCTGCAGGAGTCATTTAACGAGACTGCTTTCCCCAGCCACAGGAAAAGCATCTGGCTTCTAAAAACTTACATCATCGGAAATTACTGTATTTCCTGTCCAAAAAGCCAGTTCTCCACTCTGGTGGGGGACTTAACTTGTTTAGGACAAAAGTTTTATGATGACTCTGCCCAAGAGACTCAATGGTGGAGAGCTCCAAACCACACGGAACCACAGCCCCACCCACTGGCCAACTTCTCTGCTCTCCGAAAAGCTTGGAACAATCTTCCCACAAACATAGACTGGCAGGCTCCCAGGGGGCTATCCTGGATCTGTGGGAAACAAGCTTACAGGGTGCTACCCAGCAGATGGTTTGGGTCCTGTGTATTGGGCACACACAATCTGGGCATCCTTTATCTAGCTCCTACTCACACAAGGTGAAAAACTGAGAGAAGGCAAGTAGAAAGAAATGGGGTGCCTTACAAATTGGTAACTGGAAGGATGATGACTGGCCTCCTGAGTGAATCATCCAGTATTAGTTGAAATTAGGACTAATGAAACTACACAGGCCCTCGACACACCGGCCAAACAGCACACAAAGGTTCGCAATGTAATACACCAAAACCGCCCGGCCTTTGACTGTTTACTTGTTTCCAAGGGAGGTGTATGTGGGAAGTTCAATGATAAAGAAAGTCAGAGAAAACCACAGACAGAATGAGAAAGACTGACCATAGCTCCATCCAGACTTGGAAAGGACGGAATCCCAAAGACCTGTTTGGAGGATGGTTCTCTGACTTGGGTGGGTTCAAGACCCTGATGGGGCAATGCTTCTTGTCTCAGTTAATAGTGTCCTGCTTGTTCCCTTGGTATTGTGGTCAGTCAGGACCATTAGGGAGGCCACTATGAAAAGAAAAACAGCTGCCCATGTAACGATGCTGTGGAAACACAGACCCCTAAATTGGGATGATGCTCCTGGACACTGGGTAGGTCCAAGCATCAAAGGGGGAGGGGAGCAACTCAGCAGGGTGATAAAACTAAAGAATCTGAATGTGACGAAGGTCGCACAGCACTGAGGGTGAAGCAGCCAGTAGAGCTGCATGCAACCACATGTGGGTGAAACCTTGCTTCTTGCTCTGTAACCTGCTCCAAGGGTATCCAGGTATATTAGGCAAGGCCCCTTTGTTCTCGGGGCTCAGTCTTTGGAGATGAATCTGCTGAGCCACTGCTGGCACGATGAATAAAAACTGCTTCCTGAAAAGCCTTGGTGTCCTAGCTTCCTGAGTATCCTGCAACAGTAATCTTTAAATGTTAAACATGAGAACGCAACGCTTCCTGCTCTGTTGATATTAAAGATCACTAATTGAAGAGCACACCAGCTCTCAAGGTCTCGGTGAATTCGGGACCTTCCCTCCTCAGGCAAGCTGGAAGGTGGCTTATATCATCCCCTGAATTCACTCTACATCCACACCAACACGGACGTACTCTGTGAACACAATAGCAGCAGACTTCCTACAACTAAAAGGCAGAACTACTTTAACGCCTGGATTGAAAATTACCCTTCAAGTTACTTAAAGGTAAGTCAGTGAAGACCATTCTTTGATCTCACTGTAGTGCGTTTCCTCTGAGAAAGACCTGAAATCCCACCTGCTGGAGAGGACGCTCTAACATCCTTACGTCTAGTCACACATCTGGAGTCAGCCCGGAGGTCACCGAGCACGGCAGCCACAGTCATGAGGCGCTGCAGGCCACCCAACTTCTCACTCAAAAGCAGTCTAGGGGCGACTGTTGACACCTGTGTGTCTGGAATAACACTGACACTGTCGAGAGGAATTTCCATCTATTTTTAAAGGGCTAAACTTTATCTTGGGCGAGGTATGAAAATCTTCTGAAAGCAGTAAAGTGGTTTCTAGTCAATGGAATATTTTCATGGCTCAATGTTGCTTCATTCTTGATCAGAATTCACTTAAAAAGCAGGTCTCCCAGGCTTGGGATCATTACTGGCCAGGAACCAGTGGGAAAAGGACTTCCTTAAGTTTTCAGGAATGGCAGTGACTCCAACTTCTTATGGTTAATTTTCTCAGTTTAACACGGACAGTAAGTGCAAAACTCCCACCCTACAAGCTCTCAAAAGCCTTCACGTGACCCGCTTTTCTCTTCCAGTAGTCTGGGAGACATGCTAAATTGTAAGGAAACAGGGCATTTCTTAATTGCTTATTAAGTAACTAAGCATCATTACTTAAAAAACTTTTAGTAGATACTAATAGTAATGGCCTGCTTCAATTTTATGAGCTCCAAAACAAGACCTGAGAAGACAAGTGAATGATAATTAACTCTTGTTACTTCATGAGAAATTTTTTAAAAAGGAGCTAAAGGAAGAAGGTTGAAAACTAGAACACAGCAGAAGTTAATAAAAGGAAGAAAATACTTATTGAGTGTCAACATCTCATTACTAGTGAGTGATAGCTAACACCTACAAAAGGATGCTCGATTTTAAGTGCTTGGTATTGTTTCAAGTTATCATAAAATCTTGCAGAGCAAATACTTCTAGAATTCTCATTCACAGATAAGGAAACAGAAGTCCTGAGAGGTCACGTAACTGTCTCGAAGGTCACATCGTCCCCAGGTGTGCCAGCTGGAACCCAGCCCACTGTACAGCGAGTCCCCTAGTCCCTGGGGTCCTGTGACCCGAGTGGAGTCCGCTGAAAAGCATAGGATGAGCGACTCTCTGTGTCTGCGGTGTGCATTTTCAGCTAAGCGGTTTTCCTGCAACTCTCAGAACAAGCTCACTAACGTGAGCAGGTTAGAGTTTCTGAATCTGCCCATACCTGAGGTTTTGAAAGGCCACCACGAAGGCAGCTGTCACTGTGACCAACAGAACGAACACGTAGGCGTAGAAGAGCAGGGTGTCCGAAAGCCTCTGGAAGGTGCTGAAAGGCAGGAGGCCAAAGGCTTCTTCACACAGGTACAGGTTGGCATCAAAATCCCTGAGGGGACAAGGACAGCAAAGCATGAAAGCCAGTCCTCCTTCACCACAGATCTGCAAGCGACAGCTGAAGGTAACTGTGACTTCAGGCACACATTGATTCCATTTCAGTCCATACCGTGTTGCTCCAAAGCCAAATTTTGCCTTTAGAAATTTAAAGATGTGTTCGTCTGACTTCAGGTTAAGAGTTTTCTATCAAGGAGAGAAAAAACCGAAAACTGCTGTTAGTGCTTTCTGCATTGATTGGAAATTCCCAATAAATACAGATACTCAGTGTGCATGAATGAGGTGGTGGTGACAAATTCCCAGAGCTGACTGTGAGGCAGGGACTGCCAACCCCCTGCTTCCCTCTACGTCCCCCTTAAGGGCAAGACTTCACTCAAATATCTTCTGTGTAAGTCTAAGACACAAAATAGATAAAGGATGACCTTTCTGGTTTCAGAGAGGGAAGAAGGCCCAAGTATAGTTACTACAAATTCTGACATCACAAAACCAGTAAAACGATGACATGACACCTCGACTAGGAGCTTGGCGCTTTTGGATGCAGGGTGTCAGGTCTGCAGAAACAAATGACATAAGACGGGTTTCACTCAAGACAGGAGGAACCTCCAGGGGGAACGGACATGTCAGTGTTTCTATTAGCGACTGTAACTTCAATTCACATGACTGCACTTTTAATTTATAGCTTAGGAAAATTCATCGACATAAATGCTGAAGAAATGCTATTAGTTGAAAAATGAAGACAGGAGAAAAAAATAAGATGGAGCCAGAACTGATGCTGTTGCACGAAAGCACAAACCCGGCTTTCTGCATTCTAGCAATGATCAAACACGCAGAGAGAGCGAGAGAAAACAGTGTTTCTAGCACACCTCAGGCTGTAAGATTAAACAGGCCAGCTGCTCAGAGAGACCCTGCAGGTCTACATGGGAGGCTAGGAGGAACTCTTCCCTGGGTACAGAAAGGCAGAGGAGCACTCTCATCACAGCTCTCTAGCAAAGCGTCATGCGTGATCCCAGATGCTCTGCTTGGGGGACGAGAACGAGAAGGTCCAGGCATGTGAGAGTGGACCGCTGACTATCTGCGGAGGACATGCAGGTGACCGGTGTACGTTTCAGCCAGTCTGGCAGGAGTGCGAGCTTTTGATGGGTTCAGCCAACCCCGGCAGCCTGAGAAACTGGACCTGGGAACCCCGCGGGGTCCAGCAACCCTCGGGCACACAAGTCCTTCAGGTAAACTGCGTGGTGTCTGAGTGTGACCTCTGCTCTGTGCCACACACCCCAGCCACCTCTGGACTCTTTAGAACCCTCACACGGTGTACACACGGGGCAGATCACTGCTGTACTGTGTTGTTCAGGGAGTAACAAGGAAGAGGTATGCACACGTCGGCACGGACACATTTTCCCTCAACAGTTTTGACGTGGGCTGGATGAATCCTTGGGTGAGGAGTCCGTGCATGTGAGATCTGAGGACACAAAGGACCAGCTGTTCTGACCAGAATGGAGGTAAGCACGTACTGATGAGGACTGGGTTGAGTGCTGACTGCAACTGCTGAGGAGTCTTTTTTCTTTGTCAGTCAATAGGCAGATGTTCACCTTTGGAGAGGGGCCTGTTTTGCAGGTGAATCCCATCCTGAAACCAGGGGCAAAGCCACCAGCCACCTGATGAGGTCATTGCAGCTTTTTGGTTTTTTTTTTTTTTTTTTTTTGCAGTGCTGGGGTTTGAACTCAGGGCCTACACCTTGAGCCACCTCACCAGTCCTTTTCTGTGGTGGGTTTTTCAAGATCGGGTCTATTTGCCTTGTACCCCATCCTCCTGATCTCTGCCTCCTGAGGAGCTAGGATTATAGGCGTGAGCCACTGGTGCCCAGCTCATTACAGCTTTTTGTTAGCATAAAAACAAACCAAGTCCAAGAAATACACCCTGAAGGAAAGCCTGCCGCCCACAAACAAACAACAGCAAAGAGCCAGCGGAAGTGTTAAAAGCATGCTAAACCATACGGACCCTTAGGGCTCTTGAAAAGTCTGAGCAAAACTCCAGGACACACAGCAGATAGACGCCAAAGCTACTAAATGAGCTGTTCGGCTATGAGGGCAGCAGAAGTTAAGTCAGTTAAATGTTAGGAAACCTTTACCAAAAATGAGCTCAGTGACTCTCTCCAGCAGAAACCAGACAGTAAGGCCAGTGCATCCACTGGCAGAGATCAGTAACAATCCTGGCCTTTGCTTAGTGCTACTGTGCAGAAAGCTATTTAAACTTAAGAGAAATATTTGCTTAATGCTACAATTTGTTAATTGTACACAGGGGTTTTGTTATGATATTTACATACATGAAAAAAAGGTATTTTGATCAAATTTACCCCCGTTTTTAAAGCTGGGTTTTACAAAACTTTAGTAGTGCCAGGCACTGGTGGCTCACGCCTGTAATCCCAGCTACTCAGGAGGCAGAGATCAGGAGGACTGAGGTTTGAAACCAGATCAGGCAAACAGTTCACGAGACCCTATCTTGAAAAAGCCATCACAAAAAAAGGCCGGCAGAGTGGCTTAAGTGGTAGAGCGCCTGCCTAACAAGTGTGAGGCCCTGAGTTCAAACCCCAGTACTGCCGAAAAAAAATAAGTTTAATAACTTGGGGAGTTCAAGGTTGAACATGTGAAAGACTGACTAGGAAAGAACGACGAAGGAGGCTGTGGGAGGGACTTAGAAAGAGTAAGAACAGGGTGGATTTGGTCAAAGCACACTGTCCGTGTGTGTAAATGTCACAGTGAAATCCCTTTGTGCAATTAATTCATGCTAATAAAAGTTTTTAAAAAAGAAATGGCTAAGAAATCCCCTTGGTTATCAGCGGAGTGAAAACCGTGCGCGTTCAAGGCAGAACCTAACTGCCTGACGGCAGAAGTCCGCGCGCTGACTCACCTTGACGCAGCCGTTGAGAAGGAGCGTCAGACAGAGGACCACGAGCGAATGTAACACCAGCTTCCCGACCCTGGCAAGGAGGGCTCCGCTCTTTAGGTTCTTCTGCAAGTGCAGAGGGTTGTATTTGACTCTTGGGCTTTGGGTGACTTTGTAAGCATTACTTAGATTTCTCACCGGCTCAGGCAGCACATAAGGAGGACACGTGGAAAGCAGAGCCTGCGAGCTCACGAGGTCAGGGTGTACCGACACCTCTAATGTGCTAGTGGTACAAGAATCCCCTGGCGACGAGCTCCGAAAATCCGGAAACATGCTTATTCTCTTTGTCGGCACTGGGGTTTGAACTCAGGGCCTCATGCTTGCTGGGCAGGCGCTCTCTCTACCTTTGGCAATTTTGGGGTCGGGTCTCACTTTAGGCCCGGACAGCAATTCTATTACTTGTGTTTCCCCAACAGCTGGGGTGAGAGGTGTGTGCCACCACGCCCAGCCATTGGTTGGGATGGGGTCTTGCTAATTTTTGCCTGGGTTGGCTCAAGACTTGATCCTCCCCCAATCTCTGCCTCTACAGTCGCTGGGATTACAAGCGTGCAGCACTGCATTCGGCTCTTTTTATTTATTTTTTAAGGCCTTCATAACTGGAGTACTGGGGTCTGTCACTTGGAAAATACTCAGGACCTGGTGACTTAACCAATTACCACATCATAACGCATATGACACGACTTAGTCATAACCCAACTAAATAAAAGAGCTGCTGGTGTAAAAAGTCGGCAATTTTTATATCAGAGTGTCACACTGGTGCTCTCTAGAGAGTTCGGGTTTGACAGACGTTTATTCACATTTAAGGTTAGAGGGGTGCTGGATACACAGTTCAGTGGCACAGTCTGCCTAGCTTTTAGGAAGCCCCAGGTTTGGTCCCCAGCACTGAGAAAAGAGAAAAAGGTCAACAGGATGAACTGTTTTTAACAGTTAACCGAGAGTCAGTTTAAATGAAAGTTTGTCCGCAGTAATTCTCAGTCAAAAGACTGACTGCAATACTCTTACCAAGAGGAAAACAAAGTAGCTTTTGATGTGGATCCACTTACAACGTGAGAACACAGGCTCCGTGACAACTCTAGGGGACAAGTGACTTCTATACATCCACGGCCATTTAAGAAATCTTACCATAAAATAATAAAGCCAAAAGGTCAGGCCGACGTTTCCTTTTTTCTTGCAGTGCTGACCGAACGCAGGGCCCCCTGCACCTAGGCCAATACTCTGAGTGACACCCCAACCCCAGGTCAGCGTCTGCTTTTTAAAGATTTTTTTAAATTTTGGCATCCTGGGGATTAAACTCAGGACCTATTTGCCTAATCACTGTAGTGCTGGAGCCACACAGCCAGCCCTTTAATTGTTTTGCTTCCCGAGAGGGTTTTCTACTCCTGTCCAGGCCAACCTCTGACTGTCATCTCCTCCTTATGCCTCCTGAGTAGCTGGAATTACAGTCATGTGCCATCGTGCTCGCCCAGTTTATCTTGGAGATAGGGTCTGGCTTTTGTGTGGTCTGGCTTCAGACTGTGAGCCTCCTGTCTCTACATCCCCAGGGCTGAGATTACAGGCATGCATCGCGGCACCTATCCAGGCCACACGACTCTATGACACTTTAGGAAATGCCCCACATTGCTTTTTCTTTCCTTGGTGGCAGTGGGGAACTAAAGTCAGGGCCTCACATTTGCTGTCACTGGAGCCACAACTACAGCCCTTTATCTTTCGTTTGGTACTGACAAGGTTCTGCATTTTTGCCCAAGCTAGTGTGGAACTGCAATCCTTTCTCTGCCTCCCGCAGTAGCTGGGATTACAGGGGTGTACCACCAGGCCTGCTTCAAATGCCCCATATTTCTAAAGGTATTTAAAATTCTCAAAGCACAGTTCATTTTAATTCACTTAAAATCAGTAATAGGTATGGAATAGGGGGAAAAGACACTGGTAGTATAATCAATCAGCAACAAAGGTGTGTCAACTGACTACTGTGAACACATTCACTCAAGCAGCAGGTTCACGTGAGTTCACCCACACACATAAAATTTAACATTTTCATCTTTTATTTTCATATTAAATATTAGTATTTAACTAAGCATCTGGTTAATTCCTGAATTGAATTAGGCTTCAATTAAGTATAAGAAATAGCTAAGCACCAGCAGCTCCTGCTTATAATCCCAGCCACTCAGGAGGCAGAGATCAGGAGGACCATGGTTCTAAGCCAGCCCAGGCAAATAGTTCTTGAGAACTGGTCTCGAAAAAAAACCTTTGCAGGAGGAGATGAAGGTGAGGGAATACAGCGGATGGATGTCATATACTCTTATGAAATAGAACAATGAAGCCTCTTGTGATTGCTTTAAGTGGGGCGGGGAGGGAGACAGTTGGGGCGATCTAACCAATGTACAATGTAAGCCTATATGGAATCGAATCCCCCTGTACAATGAAAACATGCTAATAAAAATAAAAATAAAATAAAATAAAATTAAAAAAAAAAACAAAGAAAATCTCCAACATAGAAATGGGGCTGTTGAAGTAACTCAAGTGGTACAACACCTGCCCAGGAAGCGTGAGGCCCTGAGTTCAAAGCCTAGTCCCACCACCAAAAAAAAAAAAAAAGAACCGCAAAAATGAAAGGGTGGAACTTTGTCTTCAAAAAGTCTTAAAAAAAAAAAGCTACATCATGCACTTAAAAAAACCAACCAAACAAAAAAACAAGTGTGCTGCCTGTACTTCTATCTGGGCACAGAAATTGGGTCAGAAATTGTCCCTTGGCTGCTGTATGAGAGCAAGGTCCAGTAACCTCATGATCTAAAAAATAAAAAATGCTCCGATTAGGACTGAAGACACCGTACCTGAAGCTTTCTTGCGATGACCACTGACAGGTTGAAACTGATAAGCAATGATCCAAGAATCATGGAGTTAAAAAACTGGAGGATGCAGACAAGGACCAAGCACGCCGTCTGTATGCCGTACAGCCACATGGCCTGCAGGACCGAGAGCACAGGGTTAAGCAGAGTCACCAGAAGACTACACAAGGGGACACACTGGTCCCCAGCTGGGCACAGCTCAGGTCACAAGCAATGCAGAAAACACACTTAGCTTTCAATCTTAAAGTGCATACACAGAACAGAGCTCGATGCCCAGCGACCGTTCACCCTTAACGACAGAACGTGTAAACCTTTCTGACATGCGAGCAGAGGGAACTAACCGGGGCCAGGTGAGGCAGAAGCACACGCTGTCCAGATGTATTCTGGGAACGCAGAGCAGGTTTGTGACTGACTTCCCGTTTCTGGGACTGCTGGAGGCAGTCTTTTTTTAGTGCCTCCAGCCAAGAGTCAGGCCTTCACAGAACTCCACCGCTCCCTGACTTCTAGACTAGACAGAACACTAGCCTATACTCGGTGATCTTCTCACATCGCTGTCTATTCTGTGCAAACTCTTATTTCCAATGGCGACATAATATTCCCCCATAACTTGTCTGCCACTGAGTCAGGCAGGCATGTCTACTTTTTATCATTACTGTATGACAAAAATCTCTTCTAAAACCCTCAGATTCTATGTGATTATTTTGTTTACTGTTCTCTTCCCAATGTCTTAAAAGAATGCCCACTAGAGGCCAGGCGTCAGTGGCTCACGCTTGTAATACCAGCTACTTGGGAGACAAAGATCAGGAGGATCAAGGTTCAATGTCAGCCCGGGAGAATAGCTCATAAGACCCTATCTTGAAAATATTCAACACAAAACACCTGCCTAGCAAGCATAAGGCCCTGAGTTCAAGTCCCATACCGCCAAAAATAAAAAATGTCCTCTAGAAGTCAATCAATAAAAACTGGAAGAATGACTGAATGAATACATTTCCTTAGGATACTAGTCAGGGAAGGGTAAATTTTTCCTTTTCAACAGCTTTTTTAAGATACAACTTATTACTAAGATATAATTCATACTCCGTCAAATCCATTCATTTAACAAGCACAATTCATATTTTTTGGCACATTCAGAGTTATGTAATCACCACCACAGTCTGATTTCAAGGTATCCTTGTCACTTTAAGAGAAGCGCACACCATTGGCTATTATTCTCCACTATGCTCTCCCACCAAACCTGGCAACCAATAATGAAGGTCTCCATAGATCTGCACAGTCTGCACATTTCACAAACCTGTAACAAGGATTTACTTAGCACGTTCTGAAGTTTCAACCACACTGTACCATGTATCAGTACTCCTTTTTTTGATGGGACTGGAGTTTGAACTCAGGGCTTCACACTTGCAAAACAGGCGCTGTACCGCTTAAGCCCCACCTCCAGTCCATTTTGCTCTGGTTATTTTGGAGAGGGGGTATTGGGAATTATTTGACCAGGCTGGCCTCACCCCAATCCTCCCAATCTCAGCCTCCCAAACATGTAGGAGTACAGGTGAGAAACAGCAGTGTCTGCTACCGCCTTCTTTTTTATTGCTGAAGAGTATTCCTTATGAATAAACCACTTTCTGTTTATCTGTTCACTGGCTGGTGTAATCTTCCTATCAGTTTTGCCAATTTCTGTGAGAAGTCCATCTGAGATTTGAGAGGTGAGCTGGAACTGAGGTGGTCACACTGAGTCTGTGGTCAGTTTGGGGATCTCTTCCCTATTTTTTTTTTAGGTGTGTAAAACCTTCAGCAATATTTCATAGTTTTCAGAGCATGACTACATCCTAAGTATTTTCTTCCTTTATGATGCTATGCCTTCTAGAGGTTCTTCACTCTCTTTAATGAACTTTTTTGGTGGTGGGATCGGGTTTTGAACTCAGGGCTTTGGCTTGCAAAGCAGGTGCTCTACCACTTGAGCCACACCAACACTCCATTTTGCTCTGGTGATTTTGGAGATGGGGGTCTCATGAACTGTATATCTGGGCTGGCTTCGACCCCTGAGCCTACTAATCTCAGTCTCCCAAGTAGCTAGAATTAGGGACGTGAGCCACTGTAGCCAGCCTCTTTTATTAACTTTTAGATACTTTTGCATTTATCTGTAAGACTCTTATAGATACTTACACATTTTGGGGGGTACTTATTAAGTCTTTCTTTGGGGTAGTTCTCTTCATACCAAGGGAGCCTATTTCTAGAGGAGAGTCTGTAATAACAAGGTCAGTTTTATAAACGTAACAAAAGCCCAGGTTCAAGAGGAACGTTGCTTGTAAGCAGCCAGAAGTGCAAAAGTGAGCGGCGTTAGGTGATGGGGAGCCCAGGGTTCTCAGACACACCGCTGCTGCTCTGCAGGTCTGCAAGTCCAGTTGAGGAGAGAAGGAGTCCATGGCAGCACATCCTTTCCGGGTCAAAGGACTGGCATTTTCTTCAACAGCTCATTCACGGTCTTCAGTACCTTCACTGTAACAGCAGCTCACTTCTATTAGAATTCATCAAACGCCAGGCTCTGTTCTACGTGACTCATCCATGGTGTGCACGACTCGTGTCCTGCAGTTTGGCTCTGCAGGCTCTGTTCTCATCACAACAGGAGGTCAGGACCCCAAGCTGCACCATGAGACTCGGTACTTGGCCTGGTGTCAAAGTCTGCTAAGATGAAAGCAACCATGGAGTATGGCTGGAGGTCTGTAATTTCACCAATCTTTTCAAAGAACTGGCTCTTGTGACCTCACTGATTCTCTTTGTTATTTTTGTTTTCAATTTCATTGGTGTCTGCTCTTTATTATTTTCTTACTTCTGCTTGCAGTGGATTTATTTTTCCTTTGTTCTTTAGTTTTATTTTTTGGTGCAACCGGGGTTTTTGAACTCAGGGCTTCAGGCTCACAAAGCAGGTGCTCTACACTTGAGCCACACCTCCAGTCCACTTTACTCTGGTTATTTTGGAGATGGGGTTTTGAGAACTATTTCCCAGGGCTGGCCTCGAATTGTGATCCTCCTGATCTCAGCCCCCCACCAATTAGCTGGAGGGTGTTGGAGGCCTGTGAATTGTCTGCTTCTCCTTTTAGCTCTTGCTTCACACAGGGTGCAGTCTATTGTTTGCTGACTGACCCTTTACCTGAGTCCTGCTCAGTCCTCGGCAACTTTTCTCTGCTCCCACACCTTGCTTATCTGACATGCCACTCTGTTTGGATTAATGTTTGCATGGTGTACCGTCTTCTATCCTTTATCAACTCACCTCCACCGTTAGGTTCGAAGTGAGTTTTTTCTATGACAACAGTTGGATCATGCCTTTAAATCCACGCTGCCAGCTCTGACTTTCACTCAGTGTGCTTAGATCACTCACTTTTCAGGCAATGGTTGCAATCTTCGGTCTTCAATCTGGCATTTAATTTTTTGCTTTTTGTTTGTCTGGTGCTTCTCATTTCTTTTCTTTTTCTTGCCTTCTTGTGGGTTTCTTGAACATTGTTCGACTTCCATTTTTATCAACCACAGTATCTTATTTTAGTGTATCTTGTGGTACACACTTTTTAGTGGTTGTTCTGGGTATTCCATGACAGTCTACCATCAAGCACAATTTAGAAACTCAAGGAGTTTGTGACACTCACAGTTTAACTTTTCATAGCCTTTTCTTTCTTCCAAATCTACAATTCCTTCTTTTACCATTCCTTTTCTATTTCAAGAACTTCCTTTAGCCTCTCCTCCAGGGTAGGTCTCAGACGAGGTCTACATTAGCTTTCTTCACTGGGTTCTCCTCCACTCCTGAAGGAGGTTTTCAGCAGCTGAGGGATTCTCAGTTGACAAGTCTTCTGAGGAGACAGACATCCACTGCCTTCTTGGGGGCCTCACTTTCTCTGCTCTCAAGATTTCTTCAGAGGTGTGATTACCACGTATCACAGTGAAGACTTATTTGAGTTACTCCACTTGACATTAGCTTAGCTTCTGGATTCTGGAGGTTTCCATCCCTCTCCGGATTCAGGAGAATTGTAGCCACTTCTTCTAAAGTGTAGTGAACACTTTTTCAGCTTATATGCTTTCCCTATCCTCCTGGGACTTTTTTTTTTTTTTTTTTTTTGCAGTGGTACAGTGTTTTGAACTCCAGGCCTCACCCTTGCTAGGCAGGTGCTCTACCACTTGAGCCACTCTGCCAGCTCCGTTTTGTGTGTCTCTGGTATTTTCAAAATAGGGTCTTGCATTTGCCAGGGCTGGCCTTGAAACTTGATCCTCCTAAGGATCCACTATGCCTCTCAAGTAACATAGTGGGACACAAGTGTTTCACATCTGTGTGTATGTGTAACTGCTCAATGAAACCATTCCACAATAACCGCTTTAACCTCCTTGGTAGACAATTTCACATCTGTGATTCTCCTTGTTGACATCTCTTTTCTTCGAGAGAGATTCTCCTGGATCTTTGTATAACAGGATTTTCAACCGTGTATATCATATTATGAAATCGTGAATCTTTATTTATATTTTTGGCAATGCTGGAGTTTGAACTCAGGGCCTCATGCTTGCTAGGCAGACGCTCTACCACTTGAGCCTCTCTACCAGCCTGAAACTCTGGATTTTATTTAAGTCTTTTATACCAAAAAGGCTCCTCTGACCTGTCTTAGTCGTTTGGGCTGCTGTAACACCATACTGTAAGCTGAATGGCTTAGAAAGAGCACTTTCTATTTCTTGAGGTTCTGGAGGCCGGGAGGTCCACGATCGGGCATGGGTGTGGGGTGTGGTGAAGGCCTGGTTCACTGTCGGCGGCTTCCTGCTGTGTCCTCACATGGTGGAGGAGCAAACGACTCCCCTGGGCCTGTTTTATGTGGAACTCGTCACCTCACCAACGTCTACGAAAGCTATCACTTCAGGGGTTAGGACATCAACCCACACAGACATCCAAACCATGGTCCAGGCCAGGGCTACGCCTGCAGAAGGTGCTGCGTTGCAATTTCTGGATGGGGTAAAGTTGGGGCCAGGTGCAGGGGAAGGCCTTATGCACTCCATGCAAGGTCAAGGCCAAAGACAGCCTCCCCCCAAGACTTCTATGAACACCATGGTGACTGGGAAGGAAAAGGGAAAAGGTGCCCACTCCTGCTCCTCACACGGTTTTCACCAGCAGTGTGGTGGGGCAATGGGAAAAGGGAGGTGCGTCCAAGTGGGGGTTTGAATCCAGCTTCCCCCTTGGCCTCCTCTGACACCGTCCTGGCAGGGAAGGGAAGTGGTGTCTCAGTGCCACCGAGTGGGAGCTGAAGTCCCTGTGGCCTTTCATGACACCTGGGGAGCAGGGGTAGACAGGGAGAGTACCGGGTCCCACTGCCCGTGGGAGGTGGGCTCTGGTGCCGCTGGGCTGGGGTGAAGCCGTGTGGGGCAGTGGGGAAGGCGTGGAGTGTGTATATGTGTGCGTGTGGGGGGGGTGGCTGCAGGAGTTTTCAACGTGTTTGGCTGGTACAGGGCTGTTCATGTCTGGACATTTCCTTGTGAGGCTTGTCCTTTCTGGTCCTTGGCCAGAGAGAAGATTTTCTTCTTTTGTGTCTGAGCCCATTGCTCTCTCCAGGACACTCTGGGATGCAGAGGGAGAAGGAAAACCCAGGGAACTCATGCCGCATTCTCCCTCTGGCCTTTCAGCTTTCTTCCGTTCACATCTCAAACCCTTCTTACAGCATTAGGGACACTGCCCAGGCTCTGTGACTGTGCTTGGGGGAGGAATAGGGAGCACTGTGTCCAACCCCCTTGTCTGGAGTCACATGGAGGACTGAAAGTGACCTCTGTAGCAGCTGTCATCGATGTCTTGTTCTCTCCACAGTGAGTTCATAAAATGTCATCAACCTCCACAATTTAGGCTTCCATGAGGCAAAGTAGAACCTTACTGCCATCCCAGGCTGCTGTGTTTTAAAATTTAAAACCCTCGTTAGCATTCCTGAAGACTTGGGAGGTTTTCCATCATTCATGAAAAGAAGGCGACGTACTGTGGAAAAAACTGCTTCTTGTCACCACAGTGAGCTCCGAATTTGCCTGCCTTTTTCTGTCCAATGACTCTCTCCCATTTGACATGACTCAAGATAAGTGATTCTAATTTAGGAAGAAACGAAGGCTCAGCGAAGTTAAATCACTTGCCAAAGTTGAAATGTAGTTATTTTCAGAGTGGATAGGAGTAACTTGGTTTTGTAACTCAGGATCCTTTCAGTAAATAATGCTTGTCTGTAAAACATGACACTTTTAAGTACTTCTGACACCAGCACTGCTCCACATATAAAAACAAACAAAGTCCAGAACTGAAGAGAAGACAAATTAGCTGTGTTACTTTTAAATTTTATATGGGTGGTCAAACTCTACCTTTTATTCTGTATCCTAGCTTTATTATTTTTTTAATTAGGATATATTCGTTGCACAGGGGGATTCACTGTGACAATTCTGAATAGCCTTTCATTGTACATTGGTTAGATCGTCCCCACACCTGCCCCCTGCCGTGGCCCCTCCCCACCCTACTTAATTCTGTATCTTAATCTTAAAAGAAATACATGTTCAAGAAAAGAATTTCAAAAGACGTAGAGAACGAAAAGAACACACAGAATCTGTGCTGTGCAGTTGACAGTCCTACTTCAAAGTCTGCTTTTCCACACACTGCTCACTCGCGCTCCCTGTGTGTGTCTTCCTACATGTGTGGGGACTCACACACAGCTACACCGCTGCTACTGACCTCAGTCACTTCCTGCTCTTTCTCATCACGACAGAACTGAAGGATCATGGTTGAATATTTAATTAAGACAAATTCCTAGAGTGGAAGTGGGGGCAAAAGGGCCAACACACTTTTGGGCTTTTGATACTTACTATGGAACTACACAACAGAAAGATTATAGGAACTTGCACTGTGCCAGCCGTGTGTGGGTGGCCACTGCTTCACACCAGCTGAGACACCGTGCACACACATCATATCACAAACTTTGCTTTCTCTACTGGCCGTCACTGCCCTATGCTGCCCTCACACTCCAACCAAACTCTCCTTGCTGGAGCTCTCGCCTCTCACTTCTGTGAGACTTGTGTTTGAAATGAACTTTGTGTTCCTCCAGCCAATCCAGCTGCTTCTGCCTTTGTCTCCCAAGCTTCACGGCGCTCCCTGCGGCTGTGCCAGCGTCTCATGCATGCTGGCATTTTCAGTGGTGCATCCTGTATGGTGATCATGTGTACTTGGTTGCCTTTAGTGTTTCTTAACTCAGACTCAGTTTCCAAAGATTCTCACATCGCTTTTGGGATGGAAGAAAAGAGTGCAAGTCTCCTACAGGGCCATGTTGCTGCCTTACGTCTGCATATAATAAATTTTACTCGGAAAATTCTGAAGTTAGTAGCTATGAGCAATTTTAAAAATGCACGAAACACAACTGGGCATGATGGCTCATCCCTGTAATCCTAGCTACTTGGGAGGCTAAGATCGGGAAGATTATGATTTGAGACCAGCCTGAGCAAAAAGTTAACAAGATCCCATCTCAACCAATCGCTGGGCACAAGGGTGCACACCTGTCATCCCAAGTTACCTGGGAGGCTGTGATCAGGAAGACTGAGGTTCCAAGGCCAGCCCAGGCAAGAAGTTCAAGAGACCCCATCTCAGTGGGAAAAAAACTGGGCATGGTGGTGTGCGCCTGTCATCCCAGCAATGGCAGGAGGCATAAAATAGGAGGATTATAGTCCTAGCTGGTCTGAGCAAAAATTTGAGACTCCATCTTCAAAAGAACCAGAGAAAAATGGGCTGGGGCGTGGCTCATGTCGTAAAGCGCCTGCTGGGCAAGCACGAAACCCTGAGTTCAAACTTCAGTACCACACACCCAAACACAGACAGCACAATGTACATTAAGACATCTCTGCACACTAAAAAGCACGTGCCTTAATGAGACCTGCACACACTGGGAGACAGAGGGCTCTCTGATTCACTATTTCTTATGTGATGCTTAGACGGTCAACAGGGATTCCCATCCCATGTTGGGCAAAGGCTACTATGAACGGTATTATCACTTCTACAGAAAAACCGTCGTATGCCCACTGAGTGCTTAAAAAAAGACAGCACACGCTGGGACACCCTATGTCTTGTGCGGTGCTTGGAACTGAACCTTGGGCCTCTTGTAGGCTAGGCAGGGGCTCTACCTCTGGGCTACACCCACCCCACTAAGAAATTTAGGTCTTGTATTCTAAAGTTCGAGTTGTGTCTACTGGTGACTGCTGACGTGGACATTTATGCCCCAAGCAGATTCACTTTCTAATCTAACACAAGCAGGGTAAGAGGCAAGATTGTCCTCCCAGATTTAGCTGGGTTGCCTAATCCCCAGCTCAAGTGCCGAGGGCGTGTTGGATCTGCAAGGAGATCGAGGCTGTCAGTAGCGGAGGGGGGGGGGCAGCGCACCTTGGCGGCCGGCAGCACGTCCAGGGACTCCAGCGTGAACAACGCGAGCGCCTGCAGCAGCGTCAAGAACTGGTTGAACTGCCAAGTCAGGCTAAAGAGAAAAGTCGACATGAAAACGGCAAGAAGGGCCAGCCTCTGTGAAAGAAAACCCGCGTGTGATTCGCACGTCTCTAGCAGCAAGAATCTCGCAGACAAGCCTCAAGAGCAGCTAGCATCTCCACAAACCAAACCGGGGGTGGAGGGGCCATCAGTGGCTCTGCAAACCCTCGCCCACGCCACAGAAGCTCTGGGTACCCTAGCGTGACACAGTGCACATAAATATTCACATTCGGTCTGTGCGTTCCACACTGAGATGGAAGTGACAAGGCACCAAGTCACATCTCAAGATCTCAAGAGTGATGGCTTAAAAATCCTGACAGCTCCACAGAGCTGTGTGTGGGCTTGTGGAACTATTTCAGGGTAGATTATGTACAGTACGTTTTTTAACATAAATGAAAACGTCTTCTTTGCATAGAAGGGAAAGGCTCAGAGAGAGAGTTCACCCATGCTGAAGACTCGGACATGAAATAAGAGCCGTTTGTCCCCAGGGATCGGGATGCAGTGCACACCACATTTTCCAAAGCCCCTTATATAAAATGGGGGGAGAAAAGGATGAATAAAGCTTCCCAGAAACTTACCTGAGAAAGAGCCTGTAAGTTTGGTCTCAGGAAATAGGTAACGGCTGCAATCTGAATTGCAAAGAACGGCAGTGCCCAGTTCTCCCTCAGTGGGATGGTGAACTCAACTCTGGTGGTGTCTATTCTGCACAGAGAAAGCACAAAGCGCCAAGACGGCAGCTCTTACCGTGACTGCCTAGAGCGCAAGCCGCATTCCCTTCAGTGAACGTGTGCTTAGATCCTGCTGGCTGGCTGGCAGGAATCCCTGACCTCCTCCCGCTCCCTGTAACATAACACTGGCACTCATGAACTCGTGAATGGGCAGCTGCCATGGGTATTCTACATTCAGCAAGGTGGTCCGAGTGGGTGGCTTCCAGCCCACGCCAACCTGACTTACATAACACAACTCCTCACTTCTTCTCTGCCTCCATCCGTGCCAACACGCGGTGCTGTGCGTTCCTCCTCTCTGCAGTCCGTTAGTGCTTCACACTCGTGTCTTACCTTTTCTTGGGTGGTACTGGGGTTTGAACCAAAAACCTTGCACTTGTGAGACAGGGTCTCTATCGCTTGAAACACACCCCAGCCCTAAACTTCGCTTTTCAAGTCTCAATGTCTTCATCTTGAAAGTGGGGATAACAATACTCCCCACACTTAGGATCACTAAAGCATTTTGTAAACAGCTTGGCATACAGTAAGCTCTCAATAGGGTCATAGTAAAAATGATTTACTGATGATTACAACAGAAAATCTGCGCAAGAACTCAGGTTCGAGTTTAAGATCCCTTCTGAATGCTGCGTTTGCTACTGCAGGTCAGGAAATGAATCTATTTTTCTTGTGTATGTTCAAAAAAAGAAACCAGCGATTTCTTAGGGATCCAGTGTTTATGAGTTAATAACGGATAGGAAATGATACCAGAACTTCTTTGCCTTTGTAGAGTGCTTTGTGCTTGGCCAAACGCCACACTGCTGATCTGACAGTGAAGAAGTCCTAAGTGTTTAAGAGATGAGCTGGAGGCTACGGAAGGACCACACAACAACAGGACCAGAACTGGGGCAGTTACAGATGTTTCGATCTGCAACTCAGTGTCCCGTGCCTCATCTGGGAGAACACCAAGCAGGCCTTCCGACCTTACAAAGAACTCAGTGAACCACCAGGTGAGCCAAAGAGAAAACACTCCCAACCAAAATGGCAGCACAGTCCTCCCCACTGGACATAGAGTGAGTGAGTTCATCTCTACTTACAGTTTGGAAAGAAGGCACACCGCCGCTTCTGACTCACCTGTTGGTGACATACCAGAGAGCTGCCAGCAGTCCTGACAGCCAGGTGCCACTAAGGAGCCAGCTGGTTGTGTAAAGGGCCATGACATAGACCGCCTGGAGCCCAAACAAGGTGTAAATGTAAAAGTACACCGGCTCCAGGTACTTCTGCAAAAAAGAACAAGGAAACGGTGGTCAGAGACACCCCAACCACCTCCCTGCCACTAAGAACAATGTCAGTAGACACTCAGTGTTCAGAACTGGCTAATAGCTCCCGGTGGCGAGTCTGCCCCTCCTCTCCCCGACATCTCTCTCCCCACTAGCGAGAGGAAGAAGAGAGTCCCTGAAGACCGGTCGCCATTCTTTAAGGTGGACTAGTTTGCTCTCAACTTTGCCTTATTCTCATGACAACTGGTCGCTGTGATCTGCTAATTATATATATATATATATATATATATATTGGTGGAACCAAGGTTTGAACTCAGGACGTTGTGCCTGCAAGGCAGGTGCTCTACCACTTGAGCCGCACCTCCAGTCTACTTTGCTCTGGTTAGGAGTTAGGGTCTTTGTGAACTATTTGTCCAGGCTAGCCGCCAATGGTGACTCTCCTGATCTCAGCCTCCCAAGTACCTACAATTGCAGGCGTAAGCCACTGGTGCCTGGCTAATTTTACAGTTTTTAAAACACAATCATGGGGGGGGGGACAAAAAAGATAAACCAAGAGCGATTACGCATTTCTAAATGAAAAATACTCATCAGCTTCTAGACTGCACATATACGTGTTCATGTAGTCAGGAAGTATCTCTAAACACAACTTACAAAACAAACAGCAGTATCTTATATAAATAAATGCAGGGTTCATGGTGCACGTAAGAAACAGCAGAATATTCCCCAAACCCTGCATTTGAAACAGCAGATGTGGACCTTTCGTCGGGCGTCTGACGGTGCAACGCCACCGAACACGACTTACCTGGATGGGCAGACTTCTGTACAAAATGCTGAGGAAGACCTCCTGGTACACATTCATCCGCTGAAGGATGTTGATGGTTCTCATGGATTCAGTTTTATTATCATACACTAAGCCACGAAAGCCTAAGAATGACACGGAAAATCAGGGAAAAGATGGCACACACAGTCACCCACCCATTCACGATACTCTTCAGTACGTGCCAGAGGATGCATGGAGCTTTGGGGGCACAACAGCAGCAAAGATGCAGCCTGCCCTCAAACAGCTCCACACAGGCTGGGTGGACATCAAACATTCGCACAAATATATGTACGTGAGACCTTTTGCGACTGCAGTGAAAAGAGAAACTGAGGCAAGGGGCTTTTATTTTATCCTCCTTCTCGTGACGGGCAGTGCCTGCTTCGGGAGGAGGACACACTACCTTCCCTGCCCCGATGGGTCTGGCAACGAGTCTCGCTCTGGCCAGCGTGGGGGTGACATGCCATGATGAGTGTCTAGGGGACGGGGTGTGTCTCCACCTCCACACAATATAGGCATGTTCCAATAGGGGTCGAGTGACAGCACCTGCAGGGCGAAAATGTAGTAATAGCAAGAAAGGACGTCACTGCAGATGCCATCGCTACACTGAGGCTGGGCGCTGGCTACGGACACCATGCTGAGGGGTGTGAGGTATGAACAGAGAGGTCACAAGGAAAACGCGCCCAGGCCTTGCATGAGGGAGAAGGTGCCCAACCTCGCTCCTGCTAAAGAGCAAAATGAGGTCACTGAGATGCCACTTCTCACCTATCGGCTTGGCAAAACTCAAGGCGTCTGACAATGTACCACATTGGCAAGGTTATAAGGAAGGAGACCCTCCTACCCTGCATTTGAGAATGCAAACAAGACTATCTCCATGGAGAATTCTGCAAACTGTCTGTGCGTTTACCCGTGGATCAGAAGGCTTGTAGCGAGGAATTGATCCCAAGGACAGATTGTACAAATACAAGATGTCACAGACCTGCCCATGAGTAGGGGTGTGCGGATCAGCTGTGAGTCGGTCACTTCACATGCTGAAGCCCCAGTGCCCAGTCTGACTAGGACAGGGCCTATGGGCAGGTAAAAAAGTTAAGTGAGGTCACAGGGCGGGACTTCCTCCAACAGAAGAGGAGGACAAGCGCCTAGGCTTGCTTGCGTTTGCAGTGTGACTGCTGTCTCTCTCCTCTGTGCAGAGGAAGGCCATGTGAGGACAGAGAGAAGACGGCGTCTGTAAACCAAGAAGAGGGCCGGAAGTGAGGCTCAGATGCAGAGCAAGTGTGAAGCCCTGAGTTTGAGCTCCAGTACCAAACAACAGCAGCAAAACAGAACAACACAGGAGAGAGGCCCCACTGGAAACCAATCCCGATGGCACCCTGACCTTGAAATGGGAGAGGATGAATTTCTGTTGTTTAAGCCACACAGCCTGGGTTACTTTGTGGCAGACCTAGAAGATGAAGACAGAGTTACGGACTGAATGAGTCACCTCAAAATGCGTACGTGGAAAGGTGGGGCCTCATGAGACCCCTGACGAGAAGAGCTGCCATGTGAGGACACGGCACGCAGGTGGCCATCCCCACCACAAGCCAGGAAGACAGCCCCCAGTAGCAATGAGCAGACTGAAACCCGAATCTCAGAATAATTTTCTCTTACTGCAGTTATCCAGCCTGTGGTATTTTGTGACAGCAACCTGAGAAGACAGATAAAGGAGACTTCTGGTACAAATTATGGCTGTCCGTACTGAGGAGCACTATACAGCTGCTAAAAGGAACGACGAATACCTTTATTTCTACTACAGAACAGTCCCCAAGAGTTTTATTAAATGGAAAAATAAGGAACAGTGGACACAGTAATGAAGGGGGGATGAGACCATCTTAAAATATTAACAGCTGACAAGAAAATAAAATCAAAATGGTTGCCTAAATGGGAAGGGAAGGGCAGGGGGCTGGAGGTGTAGCTCAGTGTAGAGCACTTTCCTGGCGTGTACAAGGCCCTGGGTTCCATCCCCAACACCACAAGGGAAAAAAGAGTGAGGAAGGTAATGGGGTGGAGGGGCAGGGCTGCAGGAGACATTTCTGGTGCTTCTTGTTTTATAGTTTTGACTTTGAACCTATGTAAACATTTTTTGTCAAGTATAAAAAAATTAAGTAAGGGCTGGTAGAGTGGCTTATGGTGGTAGAGCACTTGCCTTGCAAGTGTGAGGCCCTGAGTTCAAACCCCAGTACCACCAAAAATGAATAAATAAATTGAAATGTTTTTAACACAATCCCTGAAAAAATCAAAAGCTAGATAAAACAGATAAAGCTGCTGAGTTGGCGGCTTGGTCAAGTGACTGGAAAGGACAGGAGTGTGACTGTGTATACTAGGTGGGTTACATCCTAAGTCTAAAAGGGACAGCAAAGACGTTGTAAGCAGTTTTCAGGTAATCATACTGTTCGTAGCAATATCACCATGGTTTCTTTTTCTTTAGTGGTTCTGGGAATTGAACCCAGGCCCATGTGTGGCCGTCATGTGCTGTACTGCTGAGCCAGGCTCCTACCCCGTTATTATCTGAAAACATTACAGGTATAGCAGGATAAAGCAAGAGAGTGGTAACATTAATGTCATAAGGAACCCACATTTTCAATTTAACAAAAATGATGTACAAATATAAGATTAAAAAGGTAAAAACTCTGTTTTCCTAACTCTGCAGTGAAAACAGCCATCTTCTTGTTATCTCTCAGGAAAGCAATTCACATTTCCGTTCTGGTTCCCAAAGGGGATTAGAAACAATGGCTGATCTGGTAGCAACAAGTGTCCCTAGCACCAAAATCATGGTCCCTAAACAGTCACTGAAAGGAACAAGAGCCCCTGGAGAAGTAGCTGGTTCTAGGTCAAGGGAAGAAATATACCAAAGTGGCTTCAAACATCCCGCCATGCCAAAGGCAAGGGAGAGGTCAAAGACTGCTGGGGGGTCATGTCAAAGAGATGCCAGGCGGTCTGAAAGGCAGGGATCCTACAGGATGAAGAGTGGGAATCCCGAGGACAGAAATGCCTTAAAATCCACAGCCTTTGGTGATACCTGACGGGGAGCATCTTAAGGGTTCATCCTGAAAACATGAAAGGGAGAGGACCAACATTTGTGACCCTGTCTTCTTTACGAAGTAAACTGGCTTGTCGGTTACCCAGAACACGTCTTTAGAGATGAATTCTACCCAGTAACGGTGGGGTAGAGCATCGCCATTTCATATGAAATGGACATAAAATCAACAGATTAAAATAAGGAAAGGCTGACGGAGAACTCAGTAATAACAGACGGAGCCAGGGAAGGGAGAGAAAAATACAGCCATCAGAGGAATCGGTGTTTTCAACAAAAAACTATCGAGGAAAAGATGAAGAGACAGTGACAGATTTAAGAAAGAGTTAAAGGGACACCAAGTGACAGCAACGTGGAAGCTTTTGTTTGCAGCTCAAAAACGATTAAAATCTGTAGGACAACTGGAAATGTCAACACTGACTGCTGAGACACACGGATATATTTATAGATAAGCACTCTGATGTCTTGGATTGACTCTAAAACAATCCAGGTTGGGGGCGGGGATATAGAGAAAACAAGACTGGTCACAAGTCAGTGACCGCTCAGCTGATATGGGGAAATTCATCAGGGATTTTCTCTGCCTTTTTATGCTTGGAATTTTCTAAAAGAATCATCACCAAGCCAAGTGCTGGTGGCTCATGCTTGTAATCCCAGCAACTCAGGGGGCAGAGAACAGGTTCGAAGTAGTTAGCGAGACCCTATCTCAACAAAACCCATCACAAAAAAGGGCTGGTGGAGTGGCTCAAGGTGTAGGCCCTGAGTTCAAGCCCCAGTACCACAAAAAAAAAAAAAGTCATCACCACGAATGACAAAAACACACGGAAACAAGTCAACCACTGAATTTGTGTGATGCTTGAAAACACTCCCCACTCGAGGTACTCAACCTTTGTGAAGAATCCCTACCAAAAATACCACAGCTGAACGCAAGTGAAGCCCAGACAGGGCAGCTGTGTCACGTGTACAAGTGTGGTATGCCACGGACTCGTCAGGAGAGGACCAGGAGAAGACGTTGGGGAGGGTTCCATTCAGTACAAGAAAGAGAGTGGCTCTAAGCCACGTGGGAAAAGAAAGAACGCAGGAAAATGACAAGTGTGGGGACAGAGGGCTAAGTGGGGGCCCTGGAGACAATCGCAGCTTTCATGATTAAAATGCCGACTGGTTTCAGACAACACGTCTGGGATGCCTGTTCCTAAACGATCAAGAGAGAAATCAACAAGGAAGTGAGAAGTGGCAGGGATCTCTTTTGGGATAAGTAGAGCAGGAACAGGACAGTTACACGCAATTTTACAGAACCAACTTCTTCTGGAGCGAAACACGGTCCGGGAGTGACGGGACGTTAACGGGGAAGCCACAGGAGCGTGGAGCACCCCCGCCCCCACGTTCTGTCTGACTGCAGAGGGCAGAAGGCGGGGGCCACCGGCCTGGTTACCTTGCGTGAGGGTCGGCGCCTGCAGCATCTGCTTGTAGTAGGAGTAGTACAGTCCGCACTCCGTCCTGAACGAGATCTCCCGCTCCACCTCCTGAAACAGTGACAGCGGCTGCGTTTACCTGACCTCGCCCGGTTCAGAAACGCACTGTCGCTGTGGAAGTGAGACACAGCTACAGCTGAAAGAGAAAAGGCTCGGCAAATACAGGCAAGACTCCTGACGAACGAGCAGTGAAGTGGACGACGGACACTTGGGCGCCAGTCACCCTCTCCTCTCTACTTCTGGGGACGTGTAAAATTGTTCCTAAAAAGCCACTGTTTAAAATGCAGTCACCAGTTCCAATTAAGCTGATATTTCAGAGGTGTTTTTCTAAGATTTCCCACAAATTAAAAATTTTCAGAAATTAAAAAAAAAAAGTCCCAGCCAGGTGCCAGTTTCTGTAATCCTGGCTCCACACGAGGCAGAGATCAGGAGGATCAGGGTTCAAAGCCAGCCAGAACAAATAGTTCATGAGACCCTATCTCAAACAAAAGCCCTTCACAGAAAAGGGCTGGCGGAGTGGCTCAAGTGGTAGAGTGCCTGCCTAGCAAGCCTCAGGCCCTGAGTTCAAACCCCAGTACTGCAGAAAAATAAAATAAAGTCCCAGATGTACAGAACTATACTTGCATTAGATACTCACCTGTAAGACCAATCGTCTCCTTGTTACTCTTAGTGAGATGCGGCAGAGCTTTCACAGATGAGTTTTACTTTGACACAGGTAACCCTGGTGGGCAGATGTTCCCATGGGTAAATGGACACATGAAACTCTTAAGCCGCTCTTAGATAGGTATCCAACATAGAAGAACCAAAATTTTAAAGTAATAGCTATTAGTCAATTTGGTTATAAGAGGCTTTTATTGAATTTTTTTTTTTTTGGTGGGCTGGGGTTTGAACTCAGGGCTTGCAAAGCAGGCACTCTACCACTTGAGCCACACCTCCAGTCCATTTTACTCTGGTTATTTTGGAGATGGGGCTCATGAACTATTTAACTGGGCTGGCCTCGAACCTTGATCCTACTAATCTCAGCCATTGATACTGACTTAAATTTAAAATTTAAATCATTAACAAAATATGGAGGCAAACTGGTAATGAAGATGAAGGAGCCTTTTCTGGAACAATCCTATTAACACCCTTAGATGGTGTTTTCCATCTGCATGAAAGCAGAAATGAATAAAAGTTACCATCTATGTCGTTACAGATTCTTTTACTCCAGCGTTCAAAGCCCATTGCTGTCAGGTGTAACGCCTCTCTGCCCTTCACATGGCCTCCGCTCACAGATCACATTGAACCCCCATCAGCTAACTGGTGAATCCCTCGTTTTAGCACGCCTTTGCTTCGCCCACCTCCCATTGATCACTCAAAGAGTAATAAACATCCCAGCAAAACAATCACTCATGAGCCAGGCACCAGTGGCTCACGCCTGTAATCCCAGCTACTCAGGTGGCAAGAGGTCAGGAGGATCGAGGTTTAAGGCCAGCCAGGGCAAATAGTTTGAGAGACCCTATCTCAAAAATACCCATCACAGAAGAGGGCTGGGGGAGTGGCTCAAGTGGTAGAGTGCCTGCCTTGCAAGCATGAGGTCCTGAGTTCAAATCCCAGTGCCACCCCTCCCCCCGCCCCCCAAAAAACATTCATCTTTAGATCTGGAAGTTACTTAATGTATGTATCTCTCTCACCCTTTAAATATGCCTCCTGTCCTTCAAAAATAGAAATCTCTTTATGAAGAAAACACTGAAAAAAATTAGTTATTTAAGAGTGCAAATACCCAACTACTGACTGTGAAGACCAAACCGTTAGGTGGTTCACTGCTGACTCCTTTCCGAATCACAGCGGGGAGGATGGCAAGCCTCCTGGTATTTGCGGGAACTTCCTTTCACAGAAAACAAACTTAGCCTGGGGAAATGAAGCATTAAAAAGGCCATCAAACTCTGAAAGTGAAGTTTATCAGCGTTCGTGCTGTCTGAAAAGAACAATCCGGGAGGCACAGATTTCTGTCTTCCGCACACCCTCCGACAGCTGAGCTGGTGGAGAGGACGACTGTAGACTGTGCGCGCAGACTGCTAAGTTTTCAGGTGCTCCTGACCCGCGCACCCTTCCTCGGCAGCTGTGTTACTCGGGTATCTTTAATTTTTGAGAAAAACTGTTGCATTGAGTTATGTGACATAAAACTGAACTGGTATCACTGGCTTCTGTAATATTCAAACTCCTACTTAGTCAAGTAACCATACAGACTACAAAGAGATGATAACTGACTGAATACTAGCTTTTGTCCATATGGGTAAGGAAGATTTAAGTTCAATTCCACTTCTTTTCTCTTCCCCAGCTGCCTTCCCTGGAAAATCCTAACACCAAACGTACAACTGCAACTGAGAGCCAAATTACTCATCCACATCTATGGCTTCATTTCCTGCATGATTCTAGGAATGAAAAAGCAGTCTTACAAAGATGAGGAGCAAACGCTCAGAGTTCTAAAAGCAGAACATGTGTGCCCCAGAGCTCTCTTTACTACGCCCAGAACCTAAGAAACATGGGGGTTCTAATTAGCAAAACTGCACTGACCCCGATTCCTTGGTAGTCCTGGCCTCCGCTGCAGAGAGCCTGATACTCTGCTTTATCACAGACGCCTGAAAGGGTTACATCTGCCATGTGCTCAGAGAACATCTGTTTCCTCAAATGCTTTCAGTTTCACAGCAATTTATACTCTGCCTGGTGGCTGGTGCCAATGAGAACAGTTATCAAAGCAAGGTACCCTCTGCAGAACGCAAGCCCCATGGACAGTCCACACTTAATGCATAGGTTGCACAGGGAACACGATGTTTGTTGAGAGAATAATAAAAACATCTCTGATGAGAATGACAGAAAAGACAAAAGAACTGTACAGCTAGAACCATCTTAGTAGCAGATGATGTCGCAATTGAAGTACTGAGAGGAGAAGCCACTGAGGGGAAAAAAAATGGCTGTTCAGGTAAGGACTTGGAACTGCCACAGGTGTTAAAGCACAAAAGGTTAACAAGCTGTTTGGGACAAATGACACTAAATCTGGAAACACATCAAGTTAGGTTTTTTTCTTTTACTCTCACGTACATAGCTTTTATTTATAAAAACTGTCCCCTCCCCACCAACAGCTACGCTGCAGGTGGCAAGGAAGTCGATGAGAGATTGACCTTACAAACGTTGTCTGTTCCAGAATGAGGCACCAAGAAACGGGAGCTTGTGACAGGACAGCTGTTCTTCAGGCTCTATCCTGGGAACCGTGCCCCCGGCAAACGTTTTTACGTGGCTTACTGTCTGGGTAAATTTGCGTCCATCTGTCAGAATGCAGGGATTCTTGCCCTGGAGTGGAGCTAGTTGTGACCCGTGACAGCTGTCATGCATGGTGGTGAGCAGGTGAGGCTGCTGGCCTTAGCGACAGTCGGTCCACTGGGCTTGGAGCCATCAGCAGCCTCACGCTGCCTCCTGCACTTAACTGCGAGGCCCCGTTCAACACAGAGACTCTAGCTTTGCAGGAGTGCTTGACGGGGAGGCAGGACTTGCACTGTCACATGAGCAAGAGCGAGGTGCAAAACATCACACTGGGAAAGAGACTCGGAAAGATGCTGCTAGCCACAGAGCATATCCCTCCTCAGTTATTTCTACATTTACTTGCAGGGGAAACAAAAAGGTGTGAGCATTGAGTCCTGGACCCCAAGGAGTTGACCTCTGAACAAGAACAATGCATTGGAAACAAAGGAAAAGGTTAACCAAGGGATCGCAAGGTAAAGAACAAAATCACCTTTGCCTCAACTATTAAAATAACTCCTGTACTGCATTCTTCTCCAATCCATCTTCCTCAATCATTCATTCATTTATTCACCCATCCATCCACCATTGCATCCATCCAGCCAGCCGCCTATCCACCAATGCTTCCATCCATCCACCCATCCTCTCATCCATCCACCCACCCACCCATCCGTCCACCCATCTTCCCATCCACCCACCCATCCATCCATCCATCCATCCACCCATCCTCTTATCCATCCACCCACCCATCTATCCGCCCATCTTCCCAACCACCCATCCATCCATCCACCCACCCATCCTCTTATCCATCCACCCACCCACCCACCCATCTGTTCACCCATCCACCCACCTGCCCACCCACCCATCTGTCCGCCCATCTTCCCAACCACCCATCCACCCATCCTTCCACCCACCCACCCATCTGCCCACCCACCCATCCAGTATACCTATTGACAACCACCAAGTGACAAGCACTTTTCTGCTGGGAGATTCGGTGGGAAAGACAAAAATGTCTGCCTTGGTCAAGTTTATAACCCAGAGTAGAGGGAAAAGAGAAGAAATAAACAAGCACCCCCTGTACTGTGAGATGCTAGAAATGCCAGGGAAAGAGTGAAATGGGGAATGAGACAGAGAGGTGCTGATTTTAAAGGATGGTGGGGACGGCTTCACTGACTGAGCAGAACCCTGCAGAGGCGGCAAGAGAGGCATGTGGACACCTGAGGACGAGCCTGCCAGTCAGGCACTGAGGGACAGCGACAACAGAGGCCTGAGTTGGGGAGCAGGAAGATTGGTCAGTAAGGTCAGGAGTGGCAGGGGCAAGAGAGACAGAAAGGAAGCGTGGTGGGAAGCACCCACCTGCTCCTGGTGGGTGACAAGGGCTCTGTGCTCACACTTGACAGTGAGAAGCGGTGTGATTGTGCAGGAGGGAGTCAGGAGTCTGGTCTCAGACCTGCAAAGTCTGAACGTGAAGGGTTTCGTGCAGACCTAAGCCGATGTACGTTTCAAAGGCTCACACTGGCTGCTGCGTCAGAATGGACCATGGAGAGCAAGAGCCAGGCTGGGAAACCAGAAAGGGCTTTGATGCTAGACATGGGACAGGCAGAGCTGGTGTCTGGGAGAACAGGACTCTTCAAGGTGCCAGACCTGAGCTACTGAAAGGTGATGGAGGTGGAGAAGGCTCGGGACAAACACCGAGGGTGAGTATCACTCCTGCTGGGTGTCACATGAAGGTGGCCAATGGGAGGCTGGTCATCGGGTTGGAGTTCTATGGAAGG